GCAACAATGTAGTTGACTCAGTCTGCATTATTTATCCTTCCAAACTATACATCAGCAGCAAAAGCATCACGTAAATTTGTAACAAATCCCAGTCGCTTTATATGCTACCTTAAACTCAATTATATTTCATGTCATACAATCACTGGAGGAAATAACTCTGCTTATGGCAACATTTATAACAATTATGGTAATATTTTAGTGTTGTTTTTATAATAGCAAAATGTTGTTTCCTGGTTTATAAAACATATAGGCCTGTAGTTACAACTGTTTTCTCTGTCACCCCCTTTTCTTTAAGGGTTGTAATTTTAACCACTTTTCGGTAAAGTGATCATTATTTTAAATCTGCCAAACCTTGTTTTTATTTGTCTATCATGAAAACATGAAAATAAAGCACAAGTAGGTTTCGCGGTAAACATTTTCACTTTTTTCGGAAAAAGAACCCCCCCCCCCCCCCCCCCCCCTTTGAAATTGTCGGCTACGGGCCTGCAATGTATCTCATACATTGACACAACATACCGTGTAATACATAACGTAGTATCTCAGAAATATTAAATAACGATCGTCGCGCCCTAATCATGGCATTTGAAAATAAAGATGAAAAAGCCTCCAGTTCAGTGAAATGCAGTTATATCATCCTATCGTCAATTGCTTCTTTCACTTGCTCTTTTAATAAAAGTCTAGAAGAAACATATATGACACTGAAACTATTTCAATTTTTATTTTAGGAAAATGCAATTTTTTGTTAATTTTGTAGGAGTACTTTGTGGAAATGTCACAGTTACTATTTACTGCTACGAAACGCCGAGCCTATCTCCGAAATATCACGATTCTCGTTCCTAAAACATGGACGAAAAACTCAACGTACGAACAGGCAGGAATTGAAGCCCTTGAAAAGGCCAATGTGATCATAGACAAGGCTAATGGTGTACAAGGTGACAACCCATACGTCAAACAGAAGGGGGAATGTGGACAGCCGGGGACGTTTATGCACTTGACTCCCACATTTGTACTAGACGATGCCGTGGCAGCGGCATATGGGACGCCTCCTGGTAAGTCTATTAAAAATATTGTGCGAAATCTGTTTTGAGTGGTGCAATATGCAAAATGTTATTTTCAAGAAAAAAATACATAAACATGACAATCAATATTGAAATCTGTGCAAATTTTAATGATACGAGTATATAAAAAATACAATATGGGCATAAGAGTTCTGGCAGGGAGAGGGGTGGTAAATATAAATCATAGATAAATATATTTAGTCACTGTATCTTCAAGACTTTCTCATATATTTCAGCGAAGACAGTTCTCCATGAGTGGGGACATTTGCGCTGGGGTTTGTTTGACGAGTACCCGGTGGACGAAAATGATCCTCACTTCTACCACGATTCCATATCTGAGAGAATAGAAGGCGTGCGCTGTTCCCGGGGAGTGACGGGCAATGAGTATAAGCAAGTTAACAACGGTTTTGTGTGGAATTGTAACCCGGATAAAAAGACCAACCTGCCGGAAAGTGCTTGCAGGTTCGCCCCTTATGTGAAGGGAAATGAAGGAGTGACCTCTATCATGTCACACCATTATGTGGAATCTGTAAGTACAGGGCGACGCTGCTTCTTCCATATTGTCTGATTCTGGAATAACGATAAAAACATTTTGCAACTCAGAATGCTCGAAAGGCATGGGCAATGAGGTTAGGTTTTAAATAGACACAGAGGATGCATGTGCAACTGATGAAATATTTTATTGTATTGTATTTTAGATGAAATAAAGAGATACAACAGAGATATGTTACATCTTCATAAACCCTATTTCAATGAAAATGACCCTTCAAATATAGAATACCCCTGTAATTAAGTTGTCGTAATGAATGATATTTTCAAAAGGAGATACTACTATCAACCTTTTGTGATGTTTCTACACCTATCTAGTGTTGTCAAGAACTTAAGATAAACAATTATTATTTCAGGTTATCAAGTTCTGTGACAATGATGAACAAGCACATGCACTTGACCTACATAACGACCAGGCTCCTAACAGGCAGAATAGACTCTGTGGTGGCAGGAGTGCATGGGAAGTCATGAGGGAACACGAAGATTTCAAAAACAGTAAGGTTCAGATTTATATTTTGCAAAAGCAGTAGTAATAATGACAATCAACTAGAATATCATTAACGATTTTGTGGTCGGAATGAATATTAATTGAATATTATTCAATTTATGTAATGAAAAGAGAAAGGAGATTTTGCTTTAAAAAGTCGCAGGTCGCAGGTAGTACGTTCCGGTAATTGTAAAAAGCATTTCTAACATAATTCATACCAAGCTCACCTGAAAAATAATGATTTACTGATCAAGCAGAATTTAAATATAGTGGTATTTATATTTCATTAAATTAGATAATAACCCTCCCGTACAAGGTGATATAGATACAACGCCTACCTTCAGAGTGGTTCAACAGCAGCCCAAGAGATATGTACTGGTTCTCGACGTTTCCGGAAGTATGGCGAATGTATGTGTCCCATCTTCTGAACTGTAAAAATTAATTCTTTTAATGTCAATACGCGCACATATATTCACACAATGTGTTAATTTATTTGACTCGTATTAGTTCAATGCATTCATCAACTCTCATCCAATTGCAATTGTATTAGTTGTGCACTGACAATCCGCCCAATTTTATTATGGCCCGATAAATGCTGCCAAAGCTGTGACGTCACGGTCGCTGTATTGTTCACCGCACATGCAAGACAGGACCGATACGACGATTATTCAATAAATAACTAAAACAAACCAAAGAAAATGAAAAAGGAAAGGCCTCATATATAAATTTGAGAAGTATTTTAAACATTTGTGCTTATCTTAAGCAGACTTTAATCAACAATTTAGGAAAACAGATTGGAAAACCTGAAAAAGGCGTGTGCAGAGTTTCTACTCAACACTGTTACCGAAGATAGCCAAGTTGGTATAGTTAAATTTAGTTACGAGCAATCCACTACCATAATGAAGCAACTAACCACAATGAGTTCCAACTCAGTGCGAGAAGACATGGTTTCTATTGTTAATGGACTAACTGCCGGGGGAGGGACATGCATTGGTTGTGGTCTCCAAAGAGGCATAAATGTAAGTCGATACCATATTCCTCTGTATAAGTAGGTTGTTTATATATAGAAATGGTTATATCAAATATTGATTATAGTTGTAAAAATACAACCAGTGCATAATAACGGACGTATAATGCCATGACACCGCTGTGATGTTTTCACTATTACCCTTACAATTTTTGCCTGTACAAGTATGTTCAAATAAAGTAATTTGTGCTTTTGCTCAGTTTTGGTGTTACATCCACTTTGAATATCTCATTTATAGCAGTTGAGTATAAGACACCAGAACTGACATTTACATATACTGATAAATGCTGATTTGTATTCAACCAGGTGTTAGAAAACAACAACATGGAGGCAGCTGGTGGCATTTTGGTCGTTGTTAGTGATGGCGAGGAAAATATTAGTCCACACATTTCGGATGTTAAACCAGAGCTGATAGAGAAAGAAGTCTTAGTAGACACCTTACTTTTAACAGATTCAGCTGACATAGATTTGATATCGTTAGCTAAAGACACTGGAGGCCTATCGTTCTTTGAATCAGGAAATGCTCTATCGACTTCTTTAACGGACTCCTTGTCTAAGACCATTACGCAGAGAAACAGCGGCCAGAAAGATGTTCTAGTTCAGGTAAAGCGTTGGCCTTGTAGAGCATGTGTTATAAAGAATAATAAATAAACAATAATAACTTAATGAAGAATTGCAACCCATTGGGCTGAAGTTGTACATAGGCCTTGTCACCTTTGGTCAAGATACAGACTGGGTGATGACGCTCTCGCCTTCCGTGGGCGGTCGCTCAAAGCTAGCAAACGAACGATATCTGTTATTAACACGTTGGGAATGTCTAAAGTTTCATTTTTAATTAATTACTGCAGCTTATAGGTGGCTATCACAAATCTCATGTCACACTATAAAGGGTCTAACTTCACTTAATATGCTACCAAATTGCTTTATTGACATGCATGGTAATATTTCAATTACAGATATTATCAGACTCGTTTGCAGTCCCCGGTGGAGGAAGCTCTTTCCAAAGTTCCGTGTATATTGACAGTACTGTTGGAAACAACACGCGGTTTTTATTCACATGGAGCACTGGCTCAATCACTGTGACATTGAGAGCACCTGACAATGTGACCATAACGCAGGACAGTGGGTCCGGAGTACTGAGTATTGATATTAACGGCACTGCACGGGTAGGGCTACATACTACAGTAATGAAATATTTCATTTTAATATAATTTTGCGTATTACTGTTTATTCTCGATTCACAAAAAAAAAAAATAATAATAAATAATAATAATAATAATAAATAAATAAATAAATAAATAATAAAAAAAATATCAGGGACTTCTACTGGAAGATACTTCTTAATTCTAGTCTTGTGAAAATAAGATGATTTTAAGTTTAAGGATAACAAGTCTTTATTTTGGCGGGAAAAGTGCCATAAAAAGATTTTCCTGGAGAAAACGCGAATGTTCCCACACGTTCAAATGGTTAATGAACCACTTTACCACATTCGAAGTAAGTCCATGTTGCTTAGAAATATTATCTGTAAAGACCACCTGATCCGATGGCAAGCATATATTTCAAAATAATTGCTGTTTTGATAGTAAAATTCAATTTATTATATTTATGTGTTAGTTACAATGTATTTATTGTTGAATTTTACCTCTCATATAAAGAGTTGATATACCAAAAGATAGGTCCCAAGAAATGGAAAGTAAACGAGGTCAACTGTTCATGCATTTAGTAATATATATATATATATATATATATATATATATATATATATATATAGTCCTTCTGTAAAAGACGTGTACGTTTCTCACAAAATGACCTTTTTTTTAAAAAGGTAGGAAAATGGGTCTATACTGTCACCAATTCGGGTTCTGGAAACGCAGTAGTCCAGGTCCAGGTCTCTTCACGCCCCTCTTCAGACGCCGCACCCATTGTACTTAGTGCCAGTGTGAGCAGTGATACCGTGGATATTGCAGGTAAAGATGGAATGTAGCTTTCCTAACTTAATACTGCGTTTATTTGAGGTGAAAACATTTGTTATTAAGGAACAGACACGTCCTCATACAGATCAGCACTAAACTAAGCTTCAATGGATAACAATTGTTCATTTTTGGCCAAAAATGGATTTCCCTGGGGTGAACGTCAATTTTTACCATACTAACTTATATTTAATGAACGAATTGGACTAGTTTTTTTCTCTCTTTAAATGTCCTCACCCAATTTCTCTGAACGTAACTTAGTATCAAATGATAATAATTATGATAATGATTTCAATTATTAAGAGTCTAAGATCTACATTGCTATCTAACCTCAAAACACAAAGGTGTTAAATTGACGATAAAAGCTTTGAATGACCTATGCTTATACCTAACAACGAGAAATATAAATGCCAATATTTTATAAAGTTCTAGGAAATTTTCATTGTTTTAAATCAGCACAAAGGTAGATGCATTAATAGATAATCAGGTGAAATACAAACCTCATTTCCTGCACATTGATGATTATAAACCCTTACAGTATTCCTAAAGGGGCAACATCTTTTCGAATGATATTCATATTTCACAATAAATGCATTGCAAACAACCGTAACGGAGGTTGTTCTGGAATTTGCGCTTGCCTCCATATGGCTACACTATGTAATAATCTCTTAATTAAGAAAATATTACAAAAGTCCAATTAAAAAAAAAAAAAACAGGGACTAACTTTAAAAGCCCTTTACCCCAGGATAACCCATTTTCTGACCAAAACAGACAGTTGCTATCCCTTAAACCATTAAAAAATATTATAACTCATGAGGCTTTACAACTACCAAGCACCCTTTTTCCTCTCTCCTAGGCATATCCTCCAATCTCTAGTGACATTTACAATCTTTGTTCCAGATCCCAGTTTGTCCCGCATAGTCATATACGGAGAGGTTAGCCAAGGCTACACACCGGTAGTTGGCGCCACTGTAATGGCTTATGTTGAAACAAGTAGTGGGAGTACCCAAATACCACTGCTTGATAACGGGGCAGGTGAATATACGTATTCGTTGTGTTAGTTTGAATACTTCTACCATGATTATTATTTCACTTGAGTAAATCCTGTCGGCATTTCATGCTTTTTTTTAAAGAAAAAACGTTACAAACATACATTGCACAAAAAAGTAAGTGTATCCCTTTTATCAACCTCCCAAAGTGACATAAACTGCAATGGATTCTGTTGGCATCAATCACACACGACCTTTTAATCCAAATACTTTTTTGAGGTCCAATTTTCACGTTCATGCTGGTCCTATATCCTTAGGCTTACTATTCAAACATTGCTTAGCTGCACACATTTTACTTATGGGAAATAAAAAATAATATATCTATCATGTCTGTCTTGTTTTTCACAAAGGCGCGGATAATACCAAGAACGACGGCATCTACTCGGCATATTTCCTAAAATTTGAAGGCAACGTGAAACATTCTGTGCGAGTTGTGGTAAAAGGGGAAGACGGCGTCTCAGTTAAGACCGTGGCTGGTGGACAAAAAGCATCACCCATCATCACCAACACAAGTAAGCTATAAACTAGTTTTTGCATATTTAACTTACCTAATAAACACACGTGCTAATGTCAACATTTTTTTTTAATTATCAGTCACCAAAAGTAACTACATGTAAGCCTCCTATCGTGCTGTGTTTTAAATGTGTTCGATTATAATGCACAACGTTCTTTTAGATCGATTCTGATAAAACATACAGATAAACTGTTATGAATTGTAAATACACAGGATAAAGACAGCAAACAGCATTACAATGTTATATACAGTATTCGCTTGTATACATCTATCCAATAGTTGTCATTTGTGCAAATCAAGTTTGATATATTCTTAACTCATATGCTGTAAAGATCCGAATCATTGTGCAATTTTAGAAAAAATAACTTCTACCAATATGTACCTTAACATACGTTTTGGCAAAACTTTTGATGTCTTTAAAGCTGAAGCAAACGCCACGAAGCTTGAAGTTGCTTACACGCCAATAGAACCATTCGAGCGTTCCGACAGCGGAGGTCTATTCACCGTTAAGAATCTCCCAACTTCGACGTCTGGATCAGAACCACCTGACCTGTACCCTCCTGGCAGAATCTACGACCTGGTGCTGGCAGCAGTTAACACTGAGAATAAAACTGTGACACTTACCTGGACAGCGACTGGTGATGATCTGGACCAAGGAAATGGTTAGTAGAAAGTCGTTTGCGTTATGTCGCTTTTAAAAGCCTCCGTCACACTTATTCGGAATCAGCAGGAATCAAGCAGAACCAGCCGGAATGGCTAAATTTTAAAATTCGTACTACATTCAGGAAGAAATTTCAAATTGACCTAAATTCTTGTAAGAATGCCCTTGGAATACTCAGAATGCGCTTGAATGATTCGTGCCTGGAAAGATTCGTGCACATTTCGGCTGTATTAGCTTTCAAATGCAGTTCGAATGTAGTTGGAAATTAGGAATATCAATAATGGCGTCAGAATGCAGTCCTAATGTTTAGAATACACTTCGAATACTGTGTGAGTGCAGTTCGATTGCTGGCTGAAATAGGATCAAGATGTATTCCGGTTGCATTCTGGCTCATTCTAGCAGGATTTGAAGTGTCTTGCCTTTTCGGTTCTCCCTGGAATGTGATCAGAATGTTTCGAATCCTGTCGGAATGCCGTGATAATATTAAGAATGCAGTCATAGTGCAAATAAAATACTTTTCAAATGCCATTCGATAATTTCTCACTTGGAATACACTTTGAAAGTTTTTAACATGAGCAAAACATGAGCAACAGCCACAAGAATGGGTAAAAATATTTAGAATGCACTGGAATTTTTTAGAATGCTCTTCGAATATCCAGGAACGCACAAAGAATTGTCTTTCCTACGGCATTTTTGTTCATTCCGCCTCTAGTGTGACGGGGGTATTAACGGCGCATTCAATAGATATATTAACGAGGACTAAGTGTCATATCTCATTGTTAAGCACAGTTACGTGTGTTATATGTTAGACACAACATCCCGTAGTGGTGAATCATTTGTCTTGTGATATAAAAGTAACTAAGTACTAACGTATTTACTTGCAATCCAAAGGTCTTGCCAATAAAGCACCCCGCACACGGTAAGCAATTGGCGCGCACCACTTGCGCTGAGCCAGATGCTCGCTCTCCTCAGCTCCCCGCAAACGCTGCGCTCTTTGCTCAGCAGAGGTGCCTCCCGGCCTGCCCCTAGCAAACGCACTGTGAACTGTGGAATCATGTGTTTAAGGAAATATTACATATTGTTGTTTTTTTCTGATAGTAATGGAAAATGGTGACCACGTTAATCAATCAGACAGACTATAACTGTGTACATTTTTGTTGACTTCGCTGGAGGCTGCCATTTTTGTTTGTTTCCGGCTACCGGCACATGCGCATTGTTGGCATGACTTCAGCAATCGGCGCTTGCACCCCGCACACGCTGAGCCATTTGCCTCAAGAGGCCAAAAATATCAAACACGTGAGATATTTTATTCAGCCGCGCGAGAGGCAAAAATCTCACCAAAATACCCCCGCAAACGGTAAGAAAACGGCGCAGCGCAAGTGGCGCGCGCCAATTGCTCACCGTGTGCGGGGTGCTTAACGCTATAGGTACAGCAAAGGAAAAAACACTTCACGTTTCTTAATATGAATTCATAAATGCATAAACAATCTGATGCAATATTTGAAGATACTTTTAAAGGACATTGGTAATGCATATTCCATTACAAAATAATTTTCTCATTCCAAAAGGATCGATGATTCTACAATGTAGTGTCGTAGTCCATTATGTGAACAGTATACAAAGCTAAACTTTAACGGAAACATTGGCGGCTTGCACCATATAAATAAGTCTCATTAATATATTTATGTTCTTTCAGCATCGAGTTACATTATTCGCTACAGCACCTCGGTCTCACAACTCCGACTTAACTTCAATAACACCTATAAACTCCTTGACGAGGATCTTATCCAGGGAAAACTTGATTCACCCTTGCCAGCGGGTGCGAAAGAAACCTTTCTCGTCCAATTCAACCAAACAGTCAAATCAAATATCACATATTTCATTGCGCTATTAGCATCAGATGACAAAAATCAGACTGGACAAGTGTCGAATATCGTGTCAGTATCTTTTGTCTACAGTTATCCGTTACCCCCAGCAGAGCCAGTAACAAGTACGGAAGCAACCACTGAAGCAATAACCACAACAGCTGTGTATACGACCCAGGAAACTACTACGAATGAACCAACGACCCATGAAAGCACAACAACTGCGCTAACGACTCAGGAGAGCACAACTACTGAGTCAACGACTCAGCAGATCACAACTACTGAGCGAACGACTTGGATCACAACTGAACCAACAACTCAAGAGCCAATGGCTCGAGAAAGTACGTTGTATATCACGACAACCGGCGCATCATCAACACATACGGACAGTTCTAGAGTCACTTCCGTTCAACAAATTGCCATTGGTACTGGTTCGGCGGCGGTGGCCTTTGTGCTTATTGTGTTGATAGCAGTTGCTATAGCCTGGCCTGACAAAACGAAACCCAAAGATCGCCACTTCCCTGATCCTCGTCATGATGGAGTTAAAGATGGCCACAACATTCACGGACATACAGGTTCCCATCCGGTTAATCCTTACGAATTCCGAAATTACTGGCAACTCCCACACGAGGACAAAATATCACGCCCCTATGTTCACCAAGCGAAGCAAGACAAAGTTAAGTCAGACTACAGGTCTGCCTTTGCCTCTTACTCTCCATCAAAAAGAACGGGATATTCCTTTCCGGATGCCCCAATGAGAATTGTGTCGCATGACTATACGCCAAGTCAATTTAAGGCGGATGTCAAGCAAACTGAAGTGCCTCGCCAGCATGGCTATTACAACTTCAGAAACGATCCTGAGTGGTCGAACCAAAAAGTATCAACAGTGGACAAAGAGCATACATACGTCAACATTTCAGTTGGTCAAATATTTCCTACATATTCAGCACCCATGAACGCTACAGAACATGGTCCGCCTGGTGTAAGACGTGTTAGTTCTGGAAAATATAACAGATATATCCCAGTGGAACAGGCTGAAATTGCGTCAGAATCGAAGCCTTATTGGAAGACTAACTCCCAAGATGGATGGAACAGGAACCCCCAACACCCAGAACGGAGAAAGGATACACAGCAGCGATACCGTTACCAAAGAGAATCTGACCCGTCTTCTGGTATTGGTGATTACGCCAATCTACCAAACTACCGCATGGACTCGCAAGATGCTTGGTTGTCGCCATATTTCCCTGAGCAAAACGATAGCTCTAGACCAATAACCACCAACTATGACTCTCGACAGTCAGCTTTCTATCCATCAGCAAACCGCTATTCGAAAGAGACAAATTCACCAAGCGATTTGGAGAGACCACCTCGGACGTTATCAATGCACCAACAATATCAGTTGATGGATGATGCCAACTGGCGGAAAAGTAGTATGTCGCCCAGAAACTTTTCGACCGTTTATCCCGACTTCGATGAGGCTCCACTTTACAGAACAGGGACGCAGGGTTCACATGGTGAATCAAACCGTTCAGTGCAGAAGAAACCGCACCTCAATGCAGCTACGGCGATGACACCAAGTTACGAAGAAAATCTGTATACTGCCAAAAGTCTAAACCCTACGAACCTGCAACCTACCCCTCATGACGACTCTTCATTCCTTAACATAGTGGAACCGCAGCACAGTGCTTTCAGGAACCAGAATTACCAACCGACGATATACACCGATAGCTACAGAAAGAAGCGTAACGACCATAGCTTTCTTGCCATGGGTGACAGACATACCGAGCCGTCATCATGGGGGCAATCCACTGAAAATAGGCCCCAGCCTGTTAGTCGGAGGCTAAGCTCGAATCGGTATAATTCACGTGCCAATAACTATGGCAGGTACCAGTACGACCCCATTCCAGAAGAGGAAACGAGCTCTCAGAACCCATTTAACAGTGATGATTGGGTCGTACCGTACAAACCAGACGTCGGTAACCAAAGTTCTGTGCCTCAAGAGTTGAATGCACCTAGTTACCAATCCAGAAATGCAGGTCACAGGTCTCCTCTCTCTTCAAGTTCCAACAATTATCAAGAAACACCTTTACTCGACCAATACCATACCACATTGATCCATCCGCACGAGGATTATTATCTTCACCCGAACTCGCCCACTGCAAGGGTGATATCGGACGTGGAATACGAGACCCGAAGTTATCCGAATCGTACCGACAATAACTACAGTTACAATCCATCGTACGAGACAGACCACCTGACCAAGTGCAGGCCACAATACACAAGTACGGATACTGGATACACGCCAGGCGTGTCCCAATATGGAAACAGGGGCTCACAAGACTGGAGGGGGTTAAGAGAACCGCAGGTTTCTACTAGTACTCGAAATAACACTCCACCAGTCGTTGATCGGACAACAAAACCAAGCATGGAGATTCCGCAAGTGGCCCTCAAGATGCCCCTAGCACACCTGACTGGAAGGAACTATCCATATACGCCTGATAATGAATCGCCACGGTACACCATTTATAAGTAATCTCTATTTTACGAGCTCCTCAAAAGGTCTGTTTAACATCGAGTTCGAGTAGGCATACTGGACATGCCTAGCGGCTGAAGAAAAAAAAAAAACGGATAAGAAGCTTCGATAACAAATAGTAAATTGAGCAGTCATATATATTTCCTGGAGGTGATATAGTATTGGACAAAAAGTTGTATCAACAAAGTTAACTTTGACGCAAAACCAGTGTGTTTTGCTTGATTCTAGAGTCCATTTTATTTTTTGTATTACACTGTAGTTCAAGTAGTGGATAAAAAACGTTTTGCAAATAAGTACGTGGGATGTGACCATTATGTATTTGAAGAGTTAGGATAATGATCACGTGATACTATTTAAATCATGAAAAATACAACGTGTGTGGTGTTCTGTTGTAGTAGTATTGTCATGTCACTATGCTGACTCGTGACTATATATATGTAGAAAACAGAGGTGTTAACACAGTACATGCATTTGATTTCGAACCCATTTACTATTAGCACATATGTGTAACATGATTAAAATGGTTTAACTCAATCACTGATTTCATCGTGGACAATCACAGAAGTCATGGCATAGTTGGAATACGGCTTATCGATATTTTTACGAAATTGACAGCATGGAGAAGAAGAAAACCCAAATATTGCATACGCATACCACATTTCACAATTGTATTTGATTACTACAATTTAGATATTGAAATATACCAGGCAGGTACTCAGCTTATTAATATTAATATTATTCACTTTTTGGGCTTTAATTTTCATATATCATGCAAATGAGAACATTTAGTTAACTACTGTAAGGTCTATATGCTTCACGAACACACGGCTACAGTAAAAAATCTGTACATATACACCAAATCGGGAAATGTATTAAAGCTTGACTGATTATTATAATCACAAAAGCGCTATACTATGTTATCAACATATACGTGTGAATACGAACGTTTAACACAGGCTGTGCAATTTTGTACTTGCACCGGTGGTAAATCTATGCATAGACGTAAATATGTGCATTAAATTAAGGTATAGAAGAATTTGCCTCACAGTTAGCAATTCAATCACCATTTGAATTGTTTACAATCTAAATATCCCAGATGAAAGAAGGGTTTCCAATAAAATATGTGCATTCCAGATCTCTAACACAGTGTCATTGCGTTTGTACAAATTTAAAAATCATATTGTTTCACCCATATAAGAGGTAACGCGTAGAAATTACATAAGTAAATTTTATGACAAGGATTGACAACGGATGATGCAGTATAGATTAAAAAATTGACTTTTTGGTGAAAACAAGTTAAACCGATATAACCTGAAAATCAACACAAACAGCTTTCCATATTTTTTCGAAAATTAAAAAAAACGAAAATCTAATAATTAGAAGCCTAGTCTTTTTATTCTTTTCATTTAATTCTTTTCAGTACTTGCGGCTTAAGAAAAGTGAGATCATGTCCTGTACTCCATCCATGCAACCAGAACACAAAATGCTAAAATTAAACCTCCCGTGGGTTTTATCAATGCTACTATTTCCAAGTGAATTATCCCCCAAAAATGAAAGCTTCGTTTTGTGGCTACTCACTCAAAAGCCCCGACTCTTCCACCGCTTTCTTCTGTTCCATGGACTCAAGGTTGAGTTCTTCATAATATATATCAAGCGCCAGACATCCCTACAACATCCTTACAACATTCACAAGGTACATAGTTGACGTGAATTCTATAATTATTCGCCTCTTGTAATTATATAAATATATCTAATATGTGTTCTTTGATTATGTCTGTCCGGTAGAGCAGCATTAAGAGGTTACATTTATCCAATCACCCTCCTCTATTCATAATAGTAATCCAGTAAGCGGCCTCTTATGATATTTCTCCCATTTTTCGACTCTGGTGGTGAAATCCCTTCATTAGACTATCACAATTTTCCTACACTGTCTCGTAGTGTATCGTTTTCTGGAGACGTGATCTGTAACCTTTGGCTTGAATGCACCTAAAGTGCTGCTTCATATTTAAAACGGTGCTTTTGTGCAAATTTAATCAAAAGAAAAATAAAGAAGTTAACTTCTCGCTCTAGGTACACACCAGTTATTGTGTTTTGTAGCTGAGCTCGCATAAAGAAAATAAGCCATCATCGCACTGCAAATATTTCGAAATTAAGCTTTTCACGCAACTCGTTTTGAATGACTTGGCTATTACCTGTAATGTCAGAATAATACGCAAGACTAGTGCATTGACATTGTACGTGATTTAAATAAACACAATCGTTTCCCTGTCGCCATTTGCCAAGAGAAGGCTTTTCAGACGAGCGGAAGTTATGGAAGCCTCTCGCTGTCATATAACCCATTTGGTCCTGTTACTGTCTTTTACGGCATTAGCAAGGGGGCAAAGGCTGCGCGCCAATGTTACTCTGATTGACAACGGCTACGAAGGACTTCTCATTGGAATCGGGTCAGAAGTTACTGAAGATCCTAAACTTATTCCCAGAATCAAAGTAAGTATATAGGGCTGTTGTGATTTTTAAAGGTTGAACGTTTTTAATGTTTCAAGGTATGTGGAGGTTATTTGTCATGAAACTCAGTTTATTTGGATAAGGAATATCGATTTGTATGCCTTAAACTTTTTTAGAATATTATTTGGAAAAAGGAAGACAAGGTCATTGTGAGGACATGGTGGCGTACGGCTGTACTTCTGTGTTGACGCTTATTTGTTAATGTGCTGATTCGTATTTTGATCATTGCTGAGTTCTATTGACAGCACCACAAAGATTATACAAATGCATGCGTGTGTGTGTGTGTGTGTGCGTGTGTGTGTGTGTGTGAGAGAGAGAATGCCAACTTTATTTGCATCGATCCATCCATCTTAATGATTGTCGAGGTTATGACTCCACCAAGTTACCGAGTAAGTTTATTTTAAAATAACAGTACAGGGTATATGTAGGTTTGATAATGCAGCCATCCTATTATCTCCTTGCTTTTAGAATGTGGCACGGGCGAGGAAAAAAGACAGCGGGCTTCGAAAACAGTACATTTATCTCACCTGGGCTTTTAACCATTTACATTGCTGTCTGTAGGTACCCAATATTTACCCCATTGTACTTCCTGGTCTGTCACAAAGCGTACATTTATTAAAATGACCCCAATGGAGGTCAGGCGCAGGCTTAGTTTGCGGTCGCTTTCACAACACAAATTACCTGAGTTCTTCGTTATTAAACTTCCTTTGTAATTTTGATTAAAATGATTCTGTAAGCATATAAATGTTTTACCAGTAAGGCCGAGGGTTTCATTTGTTCAAGGTACTATTGTGTGAGGTCATCCATAAGTTACAGAAGAAAGCTTTTACCTTGCGCTTCTTGTCAAAAGATACATTAAAATGCTTGGCCGCGTGTATTCGTTTTGTTAGTGCAACAATACAGTTGACGCAGTCTGTATTATTTCTTATCCTTCAAAAGCAGACATGAGCAAGAAAAGACTCAAGTAGAATTGTTAAAATATCCCAGTCGCTTTATATGCTACCTTAAATTCAATTATATTTCATGCCCTACAATGTATCTCATACTTACGCTCCACAGCGACACAACGCACCGTACCTGTGTCTCAGAAATATGAAATCACGATCGTCGCGCCCGAATCATGGCATTTGAAAATAAAGATAAAGGAGCATTCAATTCAGTAAAATGCAGTTATGCCAGCCTATCGTTCATTTTACTTGCTCATTTAAAAAAACTCAAGAAAATAACGTGACACAGGATCGAATGAAATCAAAAATTCGCTTCAAAGCTCAAGGTGCAGTGGTATGGTTTATTTGAAAAAGACAATACATGATACTGAAACTATTTATATTGGCAAATGACTTTTTAATTAATTATGTAGGAATACTTCGTGGAAATGTCACAGCTACTATTTACTGCTACGAAAAATCGTGCCTATCTCCGGAATATCACGATTCTCGTTCCTAAAACATGGACGGAAAACCCCAGGTACGGACAGGCAGGAATTGAAGCCTTTGAAAAGGCCAACGTGATCATAGACAAGCCCAATGGTGTACAAGGTGACAACCCATACGTCAAACAGAAGGGAGAATGTGGACAGCTGGGGACGTTTATGCACTTGACTCCTGCATTCATACTAGATGATGCCGTTGCAAGGCAATATGGGACGCCTCCTGGTAAGTTGTCCGAGGAGCACGCTGTCATTATCTAGAAAAAATATAAATATGACAGTTAATACTGAAATCTGTACGAATTTTAATGATACCAGTATATGACAAATTACCACATTGTCATTAAAGTTCTGCCAGGGGAGTCTGGCAAATATAAAACTTGGATAAAAGTACATTTGGTCACTGTATCTTTTTCTCATATTTCAGCTAAGACTCTCCTCCATAAGTGGGGACATTTGCGCTGGGGTTTGTTTGACGAGTACCCGGTGGACGAAAACGATGCTCATTTCTACCATGACTCCATATCTGGCAGGATAGAAGCTGCGCGCTGTTCCCGAAGAGTGACGGGCAAGAAGTATAAAATAGTGAACGACGGTCCCGTGTGGAATTGCAACCTGGATAATGAAACCAACCTCCCAGAAAGTGCTTGCAGGTTCGCCCCTGATGTATACAACAACGAAGGAACCTCTTCTATCATGTCACACCATTTTGTGACATCTGTAAGTGCAGGGGGATGCTGCTTTTATACCACTATTTCTTTTACCCGGAACGATGAAAATATCAAGCATCTCAATATGGTCTAAAGGCATAACATACTTTAGTTTTAAGGGAATTTAAAAGAAATGTATCTGAATTTTTTTTTTTTTTTTTTTTTTTTTTTTTTTTTTTTTTTTTTTTTTTTTTTTTTTTTTTGCCATTTCTTTGTCTATAAGGTCAAACGCATGCGCGACCGATAAACATTTTAATGTATTGTATTTCGGATGAAAGAGATTAGTACAGAGGAGATATGTTACATCTACATCAACTCTGTTTGAATGCATATGAACTGTTAGTTATAACAAAATAACCTTAAGGGTGTCATAATAACTGATATTTTCAAAAGAGGATACTACCATGTTTGTGATGTTGCTACACCAACCCAGTGGTGTCAAGATATTGAGATACACAATTATTACTGCAGGTTATCGGGTTCTGTGACAATAATGAGACAGATGCACTTGACCTACATAACGACCAGGCTCCTAACAGGCAGAATAGACTCTGTGGTGGCAGGAGTGCCTGGGAAGTCATGAGAGAACACGAGGATTTTAGGAACAGTAAGGCTCAGGTTTCATTATTCGTAAAAATAGCAGTAATAATGACAATCCACTAACAGATCATTTCCGAATTTTGTGTTTGAAGTGAATATTAGTTGAAAATAGTCCAATTTCTGGAATGAAAAGATGAGATTGATTTTTTAAAAGAAGTCACAGAAATACTAGTACGTTCGCCCGATAATTGTAAAGAGCATTCCAAACGTAATTAATATATATCCAGGTCGCCTGAAAAATAATGATTTACTCATCAAGCAGAATTTTAATAAAGGAGTGTTTATTTTTTAGATACTAATCCTCCTGTACAAGATGATATAGATACAACTCCCACTTTCAAAGTGGTTCAACAGCACTCCAAGAGATATGTACTGGTTCTCGACGTGTCCGGAAGTATGGGGGGAGTAAGTGCTCAACACTCAAAATACAGTGACCTCGACAGGACGGATGCAGCAAAAAAATTAATTAAGTAGATATATTAGTAGATAAACACATAGATTGAAAAATAAATAATGAAAGAGAAGATAAAGAGAGATTTACGTATTACAGTTGTAAGAAAAACATAAATTTCATCCAATATTTTAGAGCAGATTGGAGAACCTGAAGAAGGCGTGTGCAGAGTTTCTACTCAACACTGTTGACGAAGATAGCCAAGTGGGCATAGTTAAATATAGTGACACAGCTTCCACTACCATAATGAAGCCTCTAACTACAATGAGTTCCAAATCAGTGAGAGAAGACATGGTTTCCATTGTTAATGGAATAACTGCCGGGGGAGGGACATGCATTGGTTGTGGTCTCCAAGAAGGCATAAATGTACGTCGATACCATATTCCTCTGTATAATTAGGCTGTTTATACATATATATATATATAGGATTTTATCAAATAATTGATCATAACTGTAAAAATGTAACCAGTGCATAATGACGGACAGTAAGTAGCATCGTTGCGCTGTATTTTTTGTTCAGTTTTGCTACTACATCCAATCTGAATATCTCATTTATTGTAGTTGTGTATAAGACAACAGTATTAATATTTAAATCGTATGCTGATATACACGTACATGTATATATCTGAGTATTTTTAGTTTTCCTGCTCGGTCCCATCTACTGATAAATGCTGATTTGTATTCAACCAGGTGTTAGAAAACAGCAACATGTTAGCAGCTGGTGGTATTTTGGTCGTTGTCAATGATGGAGAGGAAAATATCAGTCCAACCATTAGGGAAATGAAGCCAATCCTGATACTGAAGGAAGTCGTAGTGGATGCCGTACTTTTTACGGCCGCAGCTGATGAACAACTGATATCTTTAGCCAAAGACACTGGAGGCCTATCGTTCTTTGAAACAGGAAATGTTCTATCTACTTCTTTAACGGACTCCTTGTCTAAGACCATTACGCAGAGAAACAGCGTCCAGAAAGATGTTTTAGTCCAGGTAAATTGTTGGCGTTGTAGAGCGTGTGTTATAAATAATAATGACTAAATAAAAAACGCAACCCTTTGGGTTGATGTCTTGCATGAAAGAAATATTACAATAGTCATTTTTGAGTCATTTTTGGCCAGGATGCAGCTCTAGCCTTCCTGCGGAGAATACGGCGCTGCTACTGTGTTCTCGGAGCTAGCAAACGAACGATATATTTTATCAATGTATTGGGAATATTAAAAGTTGAAAGTAAATTATTAATAAATCACGGTTATTAATAAATTACGTAAAGGTTGGTCCTCACAAGTCTCAGGCCACTCTATAATGGGTCTTACTGCTCTTAATATGCTCCCAAATTACCTTATTGACTTGCATGGTGATTCACCAGGAAATATTTCAATTACAGATATTATCAGAATCGTTTACAGTCCCCGGTGGAGGTAGCTCTATCGAGGGTTCCATATATATTGACAGTACTATTGGAAACAACACACGTTTTTTATTTACATGGAACACTGGTTCGATCACTGTGGCATTGAGAGCACCTGACAATGTGACCATAACGCGGGACAGCGTGTCTGGAGTACTGAGTATTAATATTAACGGCACTGCACAGGTAGGGTATATGATGACATGTTTCTGTTTTGCTAAAATTGACTATATTGTTGTCTATCGTCGACTGACACAAAAAATTCAGAGACGGCGACTTGAAGATATATATATAAAGATATAAAGTATATACTTCTAGTATTGTGAAAATTGGGTGGTTTTAAGTTTAAGGGATGACAAGTCTTTATCTTGACGGGAAAAGTGTCATTAAAATGATTTTCCTGGACTAAACGTGAGCTTTCCCGTGCTTTTAAGTGGTTAATGAATTAGTGCCCACATTCCATGTTGTTTTAAGCGATCATTACGTAGGGTTGCCATCTAGAAAGGCCCACCTGGTCCGATCGCAAACACAGATTTCATAAAAATTGCACTCACCGCCGTTTTGGTGGTGAAATGGAGCTTTTCTATTACAGTGTGTTATTTACAATGTATTTATTGTGGAATTTTAAACCTCATTTTAAGAATTGATATTCTAGAAGACAGGCCCAAAGCAATTGAAAGTAAACGAGGTCATGCATCAGTATTTTTTTGATATACTCTTTCATCTGATAATGAAACATTCCCATAAATTACATGTACTTCTGTAAAAGACGTGTGCATTTCATACCAAAATGTACTTTCTTAAACAGGTCGGAAAATGGCTCTATACTGTCACCAGCTTGGGTTCTGGAAACGCAGTTGTCCAGGTCCAGGTCTCTTCACGCCCCTCTTCAGACGCTGCACCCATTGTACTGAGTGCCAGTGTGAGCAGTGATACCGTGGATATTGCAGGTAAATGTGTTATTTGTTATTAAAGAAACACGCACGTCCTCATACGGGTCAGCACAAAACTAAGCTTCAAAGGATAACAACTGTTCATTTTGGCCAAAAATGGATTTTCCTGGGGAAGACAGCAATTTTCCCCATCCTTACATATGGTAATTAAATGAATCCATTCCGACACTCAAATGCGTTCCTTTTTTGTTTTCTTTTTCTTAACTGTGGCTTTACCATTATGCAATTATTATGACTGATGAGGCTTAACAACTAAAGGCTATAGGCCCACGTTCTGCCAAGCACCCTTTTTGCTGTTCCAACGCATATTATTCATTCTCGTGTGACGTGTACAATCTTCATTCCAGATCCCAGTTTGTCCCGCATTGCCATATATGGAGAGGTTAGTCAAGGCTACACACCGGTAGTTGGCGCCACTGTGATGGCTTATGTTGACACGGGTACTGGTAATATCCACACATTACAGCTGTTTGATAACGGGACAGGTAAAGTTACATTTATTGATGTTCCAGTTACTGGTTCCATAACAATCACGCAGAATAAACGCTGCGTCCGTTTAGCGTACTACGTTTCAGTTATAATAAAGTTCCCATTACGATTGCTTAACCTTCTTGATTTATTTTTTTAATGATTTGATATAACAATAAAGTGCGTTGGCAAGCGTTGCGTCATAAACAAATTGCAAACGCTACATGTGCTTCACTTTTATGAAGTGAATTATATGAGACATAGAAAAAGATATTTAGAATATGGCATTTCTTGCCGAGGAATTAGACATATTCAAATGTTGGATATTACTGTAATACAGGTATCCTGCAAATGTCAGTGTCTTAAAATGAATCTGCTTAATGAAAAATTTAATTTGCTCAATATATAGACTATTAATGTCCTTTATCAATGAGGTAAGCAAATACGTTTAATTTTCCCACAAAGGTGCGGATAATGCAAAGAACGATGGGATCTACACAGCGTACTTTCTTAACTTTGGAGACAACGTGAAGCATTCAGTGCAAGTTGTAGTAAAAGGGGAAGAAGGTGCTTCGGTTAAATCCGCTGGCTGTGAGTATTAAACGCTGCTAATAATTACCAACAGTCTTTCTCAAGAAG